GAAATTAAACAGTATGAAGTGATTTGTAAATAGGAATACAGATTTGACTTAATGTTTTCATAAATATATTTTTCTCCCAGTTTGACTTATTTTTACCGTCTCAAAGAACCGGAATTGAGAACCGAAAATAACCGGAATCGAAAAGCAGAACCGGAATCGTTAAAATCCAAACGATATCCAACCCTATGTGTGATGCAGTAAAATCTTACCGCTCACTTACGTTAGCGGTGTCGTAAAAACCGTGGGAAAATGTAAAATACGATGACGAAGAAGAAGATTCCAGTGGCCCCAATTTTTGTCCATTCTGGACAAGTGAAAAATGTATTCGGACAAGTACATTTCCAAACTCACTTGTCCATGGACAAGTACTCTCTAAAAACTTTTTCTCACACTGCCACGTCAGCGTAGGTGTGATCGCTGCATTAGACTGCAGTGAATCCTTTAACTAGCAACTACACAGAGGAACATCCACACTAGAAAAACAACCTGCGTCGTATTTCACACAGTCAAAAACAGGTTTTATTCATGTTTGTTAAACATTATAAATTGAATGACTGATAAGTGTTTTTTTTTTAAAGGAGATTTATTCTGCTTACATGTGTTTAATCATTATAACCAACACTCTGTTGCTCCCTTCTGGCCTAAATGAAAACTACAGTATATACTTGAATAATTAGAGCCTTGTTTTATCAACTCCAGCAGCTGCTGAGGGACTCTTGAGCAACACAATCATTCAGCTACTGATCAACCGGCAACAGAGAAAGATCGGCTATTATCTGCTCACATTCTGCACACAAAAATACTCCTTTGATGATAATAAAATGCACCTCTTGCAGATGCAGATCAAAGTCATCTACAGGTCATCAGCTGTATTTAAAAAACGAAATACCTAATAGCCATTTTTGACATGATTGTACACGGACACACCAGTTCATAGTTTCTGTGAAATCGGTGTAACTGACGTTGTTTTCAGATATGAGACATTAAACTATGACAAAGCAAAATAATAATACTAGGACACCTAATTTAGGTCACATCGTTTATTTGCATGTTTTGATCCTTCAGACCGACAGCCAGACACACCTTCAAATTGATAGTGGTGTAAAGCGGGTGTAGCATTGTTTCTTATTGCTGTTTTTAGGGGTGTGGTTAACCATGCCGATTAGAAAGAAATGGTAACAAAGAAAGTGTAACGTTTGTTGTGTATACATGATATGGTACATATACATGTAATATAGTGTTTCAAATGGCACAGTAATTTTCCTGATCATTAGACTATGTAGAACTGAGTTTTTGTTAATATAATATTGTAGTATAATTGTAAAATATTGTATTCACAGCAACCGAAAGATTGATAAAATGGGAAAGAATTAGCAGAAGCTTTGAAAAGTGGTAATAATATGACTTCCTATGGACAGAAGTCCCATTGAAATAAACAGTTAAATTACACATATACTAATTAAGACGTTTAACCTTTTTATGTTCAGTGTAACTTATTATTAAGTTGTTTACTGTGAAGATGGAACATGTTGCGTACAGGGGATCATTTCATTAATTGTTACAAAGGTGAATGTGTTCATCAATAGGGATTTGATTTCAGGTAATGTTGCACAGCCCTAGTCTGATTATACAGGATATGATACAAGACATTTTGTCAGACAAAGACATGTTCCTTGACGATTAGAAAAACAATGTGTGCTCTGACTTTGACCCTGGGAAAATCCAACTACAGGACCATACAAGCGAATCAGTTACTTACGCTCTTCTTTTGTATCGGCAGCGAGCGGTTTGGATCGAAAGCCAGACCCATATCCTGCAAGTTCCTGGACGTTGACTTCTTGTCATCCCATGCATTTCGAATCTGTGAACTGAGTGAAAAGACGATTTAGAAACACGATGACAAGCAAACAACATAACAGTGCTTCTAAAGGTGCAGGCCAGAACAAATCTGAAGGTCAATTGAGATGGAAATGTACACTTTGGTGGTTCTGTTAAATATATATGTAGTTCTACATTTTAGTCCACCAGTAAATGTAATTTTCAGTGATTCATCTCTTAAACATATATAAAAAAGATAAATTCAGTTTGAAACCCAGTCCCTATGTTCACAATGTATTTGGTTTTCCAATTAGCTTTATTTCAAAGGGAAATATTGTTATGTATATCATTATCGTATTTTCAAATGCAAGTATTTTATTTACATGCTTATATGATATGATGCAATACTTTACTACTATCACTCAAGCAATATAAGATGTATCTAAAAACAGAGTAATATATTATTCTATAATAATATAACACTTAAAGGAGTTATTCTGCATGAGTAAACTACATCTTCTGACAGTACATATCAGTGATTTTATGAGCACAATACACATTTATTTGAGCACTTTGTCCACCACTGTATAAAAGCTGAACTACAAACAAGCAGAGTGTAAATCTCTCAAATAAAATCCTCACATGGGCTACTGTGAGCTAACATTAGCTAACATGCTAACGTCTCTTACTTTTCTATCCTCGGTTTGCACTTCTTGATAGCTTGTTTCTTCATCTTCTTCCGGTCTAAGTTGTAATTGAACTTCTTTCTTTTCCCTGACTTCTTGGCTTTCGGCATGTTTGCAGATTTTTCTCTGTTTTCACAGAACAGCAGAGATGTGTTGGTTGTGAGCTAGAGAAGCAGCGTGTAGAAACCGGAAGTGCGTATTTGTTTTGTTCCGATCATGTGACCAGAAACCACGCCCCATTTTCACCTTCGACCTTTCAGTTTCAAGTTTTTTTTAGTTTTTTTTATTATCATTTTACTCTATTAAATTGATAATAAATATACATTTGGTAAACTAAAATTATAAAGTTTTGGTTTTTTGAATGAATGTAATGTAATGTATTTAAAGTTTCTCTCAGGCGTGTGTATGCCTGATACACACAAAGTCAAAAAGGTAATTAAAAGAATAATATTTACTATACAATTGTATATATAACTTCTCATCATGTAGATGAGATGATGTTGTATCCGAGAGGTATTGTTTTTCCTTTTTTTGCAACGATAAGTATTGACTTTGTTAACCTTAATTAATTTACTAATTAAAACACAGACAAACAAATACAAAGTAGACATTATTTGGGAAAATATACATTCTATTTATTTTTAAGACAAAATACACAAAACTTTCAAAAGTATGATCAATCTTATTCTTTTGTTTCCTGACGGTGACATCTGAGGAGGGTTGCAAACCTGCAGTTTAAGCTTGTATCCTCTAGATGTCAGTCTGGGTCCGAAAAAAATCTCACAAAAAAGGAGATTCATGTTTACCGCATGTTTTACAGCAGCAGAGTCAACTGAGCACCATGGCCCACATCTTTCAAACTGCTACATATGAAAGATACAAGTACAAATCCTTTGTGTTTACCACATTTATTCTTCATATTTATTTTATGGTTCTCTTAAGCTCGTTTGAGTTATTCTGTGTCCTTGCTTTGTGTGAACATGAATGTTCGAATTGTCTGTATTTTTTACTTTATTGCAGATTATTATATTTTGTTGGATGTACCTTTTTCACTGGCAACAAGCTGTTCTCATTCATGTTTTCTTGGTGTTTTGTATTTCTGTAATTTTCCACTATTTCATCCATATTTCTCAAAGTTATACATCAGATTTTGTATTTTTCTGTCTGTGTCTGTAATTGCTACGGACAAAGTTTACATCCTAAACAGTGGCTTTGCATACAAACACCCAACAGATTAGTGGTGTTATTCCATCAATTGAAAAAAAGACAAAGAAAGCACTGTGGACAGTTACCTGTGTTTTTGTGACCCTTATTGATCACTTGTTTTGTTTATTCATGAATTTCAAGTTAAAAGTGACTTGTGGTCCATTACTTATGTAGTTCTCTATATCCTGGCTTGAGTTAAAGGCCTTCTAGTCTTTGAACTGTTTAAATAATGCTGTGAAGAGGGAGTTTAGTCCAGAAAGTACGTTTTGAAAGCCAAAGAGAAGCCATCACTGTGAGGCTGATCAATAACTTCATAACTCAATCAACCCTCTGGCCGGAGCTTCTGCCGTCATTCTGCCCCACCAAACAGTGAGACTCTTTCTTAATGCATAATGCACCGTGACGCTGCCATTGATCTGTGCAGGGAAATCCACTTTCTGCAGAGGGAGATGAGCCACAAAGAGCAACAGCTCTGGAGTCAGAAATATATTATATTGATTTTTTGAAATTGTAACTGTGCATTAATTCTTGATACATTCAGAGGCACCAAAGCCTGTCAGGAGGAATTGGATTTCATTTATAGTCTTGATTATAATATTGTCACTGTAAAGGATATTTACGCAATATTAACACTTTATCAAGACCCTATGCAAGCTACATATGCGCATGTTGTAATATTTTAGTAATTTGATCTTGGTTGAAAAATGTATCCTTCAATAATGCTACCATCCACAATGTAGGCTATAGAATATATTGATTTAAGTTCGTAGCCTATGTTCTGTGGTGGAAAAAATATTCAGATTATTTACTTGACTAAAATCTGCATTTATTAAGTATAGTAGTTGAGTAAATGTACTTAGTTACTTTCCAACACTGCCTATTTGTAAGTTATTTTCTATTTTTCTATTTTATGAATCCTCTTTAGCGAGACAGTTTAGAAACGACGCGGGAATAATCAGCAGAGTGATACCTCCTTCTGAAACAACCCATTTCCAACAGAGTGAGACGTCTGTGGCCGTTTCTCAATCGCGAGGATGCTGGGTAGTCGCGTACTTCCAAGTCACTTCCTTCAGAAACGAAGCAAGTATACTTCCAAGCGACGGCTACGGAAAACGAAGAAGAATGGAACAGGTGTGTCACTCTCTCTAACGGTTTCCACATAAACTGTACCAAAAATATATACCTCACGATGTCTATCTAATTATGAACTTGCTTTACTTTCACGGAACACAGCCTCGACATTTCCCCCAAACCAAGGACGCGGCCTCGGTGGAATTCCAAGTATGCTGGAGATTGGAACAGTCCTTCGGCGGCACTCGATGACGTAGCATCCTTGAAATATTGGCTTGGAAGCCAAAATCCTCGCGATTGAGAAACGGCCTGTGTTTCTTCCTCCTGTTTGACAGCAGCTCCGGGGCGGAGACAGGGAGGAGGAGGAGAAAGAGGCGGAGGAAGAGGAAGAGGGGTGCGGACTGCTACCGGACAGGACTGTGCGGAAAGCAGAAACTGGAATCTTCCTCCTTGGCTGGGCGGAGGGAGGAGGTGGTAGACGGTGTTTTTAGGGAGGCTAACACTGAGATTGGAGACCTGGAGCTCCGTCTGACAGCATCAACATGGAGCTGGAAAACATCGTGGCCAACACGGTGCTGCTGAAGGCACGGGAAGGTAAGGATGGAGATGTTTGACAGCCTGTAAATCAACAGGAAAAGTCTTGGTAGATAGGGATGTCAAGCTCGCATGATATAGTGTAATATGCATTCAAACCGATGCACCGGTTGTCAGAATTAAAGAGTGGGTGGGAGAGACGTGTGCAACATTTTCGGTTTCCTGGTGTATGAACACAGTTGTTACGAATGGGTGCTTTCAATTGCCTGCTTTTCTTGAATAGGTTTGGCGTGATTGTGATTTATATGTATATGAAACATGGAGTATTTGAGGTCCGGAAGGGGTTGTAAGTGTAAAAAGCGGCACATCGGGTTTCCCTTGCTGATGTTGCAGCATCGTCGTTTGCGAAACAGGATGTTGAGGCAGAGCAGATTCACGTACAAGGGTTTGTACTCATGTGCACATTCTGCTATTCTGTGTTTAAACATTGAATAGGCATTTCTTAGCTATGCATTGAAACCTGTGTTTTGCAGAGGTAGGAAGTAACTAAGTACTATTACTCAAGTACTTTACAATGTTGAGGTACTTTCCATTCCATGTTTTGCTACTTTGTACTTCTACTCCACCACAATTCAGAGGTTAATCGTGTACTTTTACTCCACTACATTTATTCCGTACCTTTTAGTTACTTTGCAGATATAGATCAATGATTGACAATATGATCAAAACTGAAATAAGACTTTAGTTTCACCTGGATTAAATTCATAAACTACTCAGCAGTAAATACAGTTTTTACAATTAGTTCCACCTTTACCAGCTTTGATAACACTTTAATGCATCAATAATTATGATCTAAACCTATAATGTGAAATAGGCCAATCTGCTAAATTAGTACTTTCACTATTGGTACACTAAGTATATTTACATGACAATACTTTTATAATTGTACTTGAGTAAGATTTTGAAAGAAGGACTTTTACTTTTAACACAGTATTCCTACACTTTGGTATTTCTACTTTTACTTAAGTACAAGATCTGAGTACTTCTTTCATCATTGGTTATCTGTTTGTAAACCCTCATTTTAAATAGGCCTTTCTTGGCTATGCATTCTAGATTTTGGAAATGTAATTCAAATTCAGTGGTGGAAGAAGTATTCAGATGCTTTACTTGAGTAAAAGTACCAATATATTATTGTATAAATACTGCATAACAAGTCATCCATTCAAAATCTTGAAAAGTACAAAAGTATTATAAAAATACTAAAAAGTAACCATTGTGTAGAAAATGTGCCTTTTTGTGTATATATAATTATATTTATGTATGTGACATATCTAGATAATATTGTTGCATCAAGTATAGCATTTTACTGCTGTAGACAAACAAAGTTCTGATTGACTTTTTGTAAAAATAAATTAAATAATTTCGCTCTTTTGTGACTGAAAGAGTTAGTCCTCTAGTTTAATTTTAAGTGGTGCATTTTGTTCAAAGTAGCTAAAGCTGTTTAATAAAGTGGAGTGAACTTACATTATTTCCCTTTTTAAATGTAGTGGAGTAGAAGTATAAAGTAGCATTAAATGGAACCACTCAAGTAAAGTACAGATACCTCAAAGTTGCACTAAGTTACTTGAGTGAATGTACTTAGTAACTTTACACCTTTAGTGATTTGTAGGTTTCCTAGATTAAGTACCTTTAGGTGGTCAGATATGTCTAAAATGCAAATGTTCCAGAAAAGTTTGTTATTGTTTTTGAAACTGGAGAAAAGGTTGCAGTGACTTATTGCCAAAATAATCCTAATGCCATCTGCAGAGGGACACGAAAAGATGAGTGCTGTGATCGCTAACGCCGGTTTATCTGCTCAATTTAGTTTATCCTTAGTGCTCTGGGGCCTCATTTATAACGCCGTGCGTAGGATTCACGTGGGAAGGTTGCTTACGTAGTAGAAATCCAAAAAATAGTTACAGAAATGTTCCGACATTTTCCGATTCACCAAACACTGCGTACCGGCGAGGAAAGTGCGTACATCACTTCCTACGCCGGTTTCCCTTTATAAATCACAATCGACTCGAAATGCGGTGCAGCTTTTGCGGGCTTCACGTAACGCCCATATTTGCCTATAAATAGTCAAAGAAACGCCCATTCATTCATTCTGACTGACTTTATGAAGAAGATCGCAGGAAATGACGACAGAACAGCTAAAAAAGACATCTCACACCGTGTCAGATTTTGGTTATTTTGGGGAGGTCGAGATAAATCATATTGTTTGGTGGATGCAGTTTGAACCAGAGTAGCAGCATGGAGGTCGGATCGTCACCAAAATAAATAAATAAGTGGTCCGAAAAAGGTTCATGACAAAAAAAATACACATAGCCTTCCTCAGGCAGTGTGTTTGCACCGGGGACAGGAGACCCCCCCCTTGATGAGAGACTGTAATAAATGATCGTGGAATCCCTCCGGAGTGGAGTCATGACGACTGGATCTGAATTATGTTTTCGTATTTGGTGGTTTGTGTCCCAGCTGTGTGCAGCGTCTCCACTGCAGCAACTCTATATCCACCAGTTAAAGGAAATACAACTAATGTGTTGTGTTATATTAACTGTACAATTGACCACATATGGTGTTCTTAGTTTCCATACCTCCTGTGTTTTATGAGCGACTTATCAAGTCTTAGCAAACGGCATAAAACATGATTAAACATGGTAGTATATAAAACCATGCTCGTACAACCTATAGAAATGCAAAACCGCATCATTTATGAGAAAACATTTCATAACATTAACACAACATATTTGAGGTGGTTTTAAATAACATATCCGTATTTATTTATTTCTCCAAGTTATGTTTTTGTGTGCACTGAGGAGTCTCAAACAGGCGTTTGTTTAATCATTTTAAGATTGGCTTTAATCAATGTTTGAAAATGAATTCTTCATATGATAAATGAGAGGTAACATTTTATTTATGGTATTATTTCCACATATTTCTCTCCATTCTTCCTTCTGCCAACGGTGTCGCAGTTTCTCGTCTCTCCCGTTGTTGTGCTTAGTGCGTACGCATGGGTTAGAGTTTGCGTGGAGCACCGCACGTTTTCCCGTCAAGTTAGTATTTTATAAATCGCAAACATTGCGTAGAAACTGGCGTACGCCATTTTTCGAGCGTATATCCCTTTATAAATGAGGCCCCTGGGCTTTAGCCTCTGTTAAAGCAGCATTTTGCCCATGAGCAAGGCAACATTCCTCCCAGCAGCAGACAGGCCTTGACCTCTGGATTCCCTAGAGCCTTGACAAGATGTTCTTTAATATAAACGATAAGATTAATATATATATCATGATTTATTGCCCTAACAGACTGTGTTTGATGCGGGTATTAGGGTGAGGGTTAGGGATATAAAGTATTTTGAGAAAGTACAACATAACAGAGCAATGTTGAGTATTATGCAATGTATTGCATGTCAAAACACCCACGAGAAGGCCTCAGAGCACGAGGTGTTTTTTCTTTTTAGAAGACTAGATTTTAAGACTGTACACTTTGTATTCAAGCTTATAAAAGGGGCACTCCACAGTTGTTACAACTTTCCAATTGCTCATATAACACTGTATGTCATCAAGTAAGGCTTATGAGATTTTTTAATTTGTAAAGAAATCCTCTCAAAAAACATTGCTGTCATCATAGAAAAAAACCAAAAACTGAATGTTGCATTAATGAAATTGTAGGCTCCACCGTTGTAATTGCAGAGTTGTGTTGTAAACATTAAGATTACATGAGCAATACTACAATGGTAACATATTTACAAGTAAAGGTCCTGCAATCAAATGCTTACTGATGTAAAGGCAGACATTTTTTTAGCATAACACTTAACTGTAAATCACTTCAGTTCAACTTTATCAAAGTTCAATACTAAATCGCTAAAGTCCTCCTTTTAACTACAATTTGCTTCCACTTCACATTACCGCTGACTATTTTCCAAAGCCATTTAATTCCAGTGTGCATTTGAAATCAAGTTGCAGTGGCCTAAAAGTATCTTTATAGCCAGCGGCCATTTGCTTATCTATACTGTTTAAAAGACAAAGTCCTTTCTCTTGATAGCATTCTCTCTCTGAAGTTGTTTTTTTAATGCTAATAGTATTTTTTTTAAAGTAGCCCTTACTTCTTGGATTTAACAACCCAACAACTAAGTTTGCAGTAATTTGTGGAAGAAGGAAAAAAAGAAGTCTGCAAAACGAAAAATGGGCCTATAGAATTGGAACAAAGGTGTTTAAGATGGTGTCAAAGTTTCAGGGTGGAGTTTTCCTTTAAAGAAACCAACATTAGGCAACTTCCTATGTGCATGGATGTAAATGGCAGGAAGAGAGGAAACAAAAGTTTGAAATTCAATGAGAAAAAAACCAGTGTGGCGCCAGTGTTGAACCCCAATGTTAAGTAGGGCAAAGGGATCAAACTTATAATGTGTCATGTTGGGGAATCTGTCTTACCCTGGATAGAGTGCTCACATATTGTTTCTTGACTTTTAGCGCCACTTCCTGTGTGAAGAGACATGTTCATATCCGACAAAGTTTCTTGTTTGTCCTGTTCTTTATAGTTTTGTAGTTGTATTGGCCCATTTAACTCTAACAAAACAGTGTTTCCTGAATTTCCAGCTACAGAAATTCAGACTGCTTATCAAATATGACCTTCACATAAGCAATTGTATACCTGCAGACACTACTCAGAGCTGAAAAACAAAAAGTTTCGTCTTAAATTAAAATACAATTTAATCTATATTCGGATTTACACTTAATGTTCTCCAAGAGATACTGACATTAAAAGATCAATCAAAGTGAAATAAGCAAAAGTAACATATAAACATGTTTCCTAAGAAAATCCAGCTGTTTTTAAATTCATCGATTTCATCTTGAATCGTCCGATGATATGTGGTGGAATTCACAGGCATTCATTATGTGAAGATCTTGATGAACTACTTCCATTTTTAATATGCGAAACATCAGATTCATAACCTGATAGCGGTGCTTTAAAAGACACTGTGGAGTTTTTGACCACAAGCATCGCCATGGAGCCCTTTTTTTACAATAGGGTTGCTGTTTTGTTTTTCTTTTTATGCCATGATGATCGATAGTCGGTGCGGGTAATGGGCCAACAAATGTGGCAAGTCGGAGACAGAAGTAGGTAAGAAAGGCTGCTAGCAAGCGAAGCATTTATCCAAACAATGCCACATTTGAAATATATTAAGAAATAGCTTTGCAAATGTTTTGTAAGCAAGGAAGTGCATTCAACTTCTATAAGACTATTAGTTAATTAATTAACATAACATTTATTGGAAACTTTTTGAAAATCCTATAAGTAATTTTTCAATCAAAGATCCCGAACATTTAATGCTTCTTGCTTCTCCATTGTGAAATGTTAATACTATTACCAGTCTTACACGACAGAAAACTGCACATCCTTTGTCTGTTGATTACAAAAGAAAATCCCTTCAGGCTCTTGGAAATGATAGAGTCACTATTAAATTATGTTTTACAGACAAAACAACATCCAACACATTTGTCAGGCCTTCAGGACACACACCATGTGCTTCAGTAACACTGACTATTTATAATTTACATACAGTGTCTTTCTTTCCAAAGAAAACTCCAGAAGGAATTGTTCTGCCTTGATATTCTAGCTGGAACAAGTTGGTGAAACAGTTGAACTGTTGTTCAGGGGACACATTTGTAGAAAAGAGGTAATTTAAAAAAGGAACAGATGTGTTTTTCTTTATTTTGGTGTGACATGGTATTTTTTTGGCGGTGGGGATGTTATCTCATGTCAGGCTGAACTTTAGTGTCTTAGATACCGTTTCGTTTTTGATTGAATGTCCTTCCTCTAGTTCAAAACAAACGTCGTGTATTGTCAAAAAAAGATCCTTCATCCTATGTCAATGTGGGATATCTTCCTCTATGATTAAAAACTCATTTGCCTGCTTTCTCTCTAATTACGTATGTTAATAATTTTGTGGCGAATCAGTGTTTCAATGTCTTCCTGTCTCACTGACATGCTGTTTGTCTTGATTTACATTTCCACTAATGCACACAACGGACTTCGGGGATCTCTGTTATCAATCAGCTTGTTGGTAATTCTGCGGCTGATATTATCTTCTGTTTCCCCGAAACAAACAAAACATCTTGTTTGCATCGTATCTATGACAATTCACTTTTAGTAGCAGCCGCCGTGCAGTATTTGAATAGCAAATCCTGGAGCGAGGTATTGACTTTTCTCGTTGTCAGAACACACAGTGGGCTGCTGTATTCACAACAAGCCTCTGTTATCACTTTATACTTTGACTATTTCATTTGATCCTAAAAAAGGAGCTGAGTTGATAAAAATCTGGATATATGCATCTGCTTTGTCTTTAATATGAACTTTACACTCCCAGCTACCAGTTTTATGAGCAGCAAGTATTTTTAAAATAACCCTTTTTTGCCCCAAGTTTTGCCTTCCAAGCAACATAAAGCAAAGCACCAGACCCCTGAATAAACACTCACATCTCACAATCAGTGTTTTTTATGTCGGCTAACAGAAATAATAACTCTTTAATTAACATATGTTGGAGGTCTATGTCAATAACATAAGTGAACTGAGTTTCCTACAAAAGCTTATTGTACATTCTTTATATGTTTTTTAAGTAAAAAAACAGACATTTAATCTCTACTTGAGAGTCAGAATAATTGTTAGGGAGAGTTTAAATGGTTAGTTGAAATATTAGTTAACAATCATTCAAATAAATCACATTGATGATTGTTTAAGTCATTTTACAATGAAACAAGGCCAAACCTTTGCTGGCCTCAGCCTGGCGAATATAAGGATTTGCGGTGTTCTTAGTTTTTAATCATTGTAAGCTGAATATGTTGCGGCTTTGGACCGCCTGTCATAACAAGTCCTAAACCTGTTATTCTGGGGAATTGTGATTAGCATGTTTCACTATTTTCCAACCCATGTTGCTAATACAAAAATATCAGGTGTCTTTGAAATTGAGTAGTTTCACTGTACATGTAATGGAACCATTTATATTGATATTATAATTGGTTAGAATATAATAATTGTATCTATTTTATTTGTATTTTCTGAACAATCGTGTCAACAGTTTGTGAATTTATTCTATCCCTCAATACTTGTAATTTTTTGAATACCATTATTGGTATTTTTTTAATACCATTATTGTCTTACTTTGTATTTGTCCCCAAATAATAAAAACATTTTTGAATCAAGACATAGATACAAGATGATTACTTTGAGAACACTTTTACAATCATATCAGGGATCAGCATCATATTATCTACATGTAAAGGAAACGTAATGAAAGTTAAATCTAATACAATGAGCATCATGTTGGCTCTCGTTCTTGTTATTAGATTGAAGTGAATGAAGCTGCATCTGAAGCTACATCATTGTAGATCACAAGCTTTTGAAAGAGGACAGGAATTTGATCCGCTGTTTATTTGTTCTGATTGTTGGAGTGACGTTGGCCCTTTGTGTTTTATCCGGCTGCAGTTTCTCAAGTACATTTTTATGGCTGAATGTTATACCATACATGTTAGGACATTTTGTTGACTTACATTAATTGCTAAAGAGCGCTCTAACACATCATACGTCATAGGCTAAGGGGCGGGACATCTCTAAGCGGTTGACCAATCACAACAGAGCTGGCCAGCTAACCAATCAGAGCAGACTGGGCTCTGGTTTCAGGAAGAGGGTGAAAAGAGGCAGTATGAAAAAAATAAAGACGTGTTTTAACATTAAAGTATGTAAACATTTCACAGTAGAGGTACATAATTCAAATATGAAACCTGAAAATGAGCACAATAGGGCCCTTTTAACAACATTGTATTATTACTCTCTTGCAGAAACTGCATTTTCTATGTTAATTTTTAACTATCTTCGCTCTTTTTGAATTGTGTAGTTTTATGTTTCATTTGACATGAGATGTCAACCAAAGCTCTTTGTATTACAGGAGGCGGCGGGAACAGAAAAGGAAAAAGCAAGAAATGGAAGCAGCTGCTTCAGTTTCCCCACATAAGTTTGTGTGAAGAACTGCGACAAAGCACAGGTAAGATACTGATGTATTTCCCCATTACAGGGAAGGGTTCTTATCTTGTTTCAAATGAAAGTCTTTGTATAGTCTTCTATGTGTTAAATGAGTCTCAGGCTTTTGAAAAAGATTTAAACACGTCTTGTGGAGGGATCCCTTTTCCCAGTTCAAAGGATGTCATGTGTGCGGGATAGACCAATATAATGACATTTCAACAACAATGCCTCCTGACATGGGCTATACATATACAATTTACTCCAGGACTACTCTATGTATAGATTTTGGTTATAGCTCATCTTATGCAATGCTCTTCGTTATTCCCCCAGTGTTAGTGGTGTCAAAGCATACACAGCAGCATCTGTAATTGAAAGAGCCGAGGGTCATCATTTCAGATGTGGATATGGTGGCCTTGAGGTTCAAACACCTCAGAAAACAGAATCAGCTTTATTGGCCAAGTTTATATACACATACAACAATTTTGACATGGTATTTTATTTCCAATATTGCCAATATTTATAAAATTGTTATAACATTTCTTGTTTATTTCTTGTCTTTTAATTTGTATTGTACAATGCCATTTCTTTTTATGCTGCAACACAAACATTTTCCAAATTGGGATCAATAAAGTACTATCTTATCTTAAAAGATCAATAGATTTTATAAATATATATCATTTACAGGTGCGGTGTCTGTTTAGTGTTACAGGTAAATGTTCCTTACACTATGTGACTGCTAGATACTTTACTGGTATGTTTTCTAGTATTTATTTACCTGTTTATGCTACTCTCAGCTAACTCGTAAATTGAGAGTGGTATCAATCTTATTGTTGTACTCCAGAAAGCAGATGCACATGGCCTTCCTTAAAGCAGCTTAGAAAACAATACCACCATCTGACTTTATTAAAAAAAATATGAAACTTAACTGAATGACCACTTACTAGCAGAATAGCTAATGCTAGCTAGCTTGTTTCAGATAGTCTTCATGGTCAACCCAGTCTCATGGCATTTCGTGTTCACCAACACGATTTTTAATCTATTGATTCGTGTTCACCAACACGATTTTCCCCTTTTTTCGTGTTTCACAGCACGATTTTAAAAGCAATGTATTTCTACTGGTAATGTGTTTCGTGCCTGCAGCACGTCTTTTTCTCCGGTCGGGTCGTGGAAGACCGGAAGCTGTGTGGTTCATAAAAACATGTTCTTACTCAATATCAAGCCACAATTATTGCTTTTATTTTAAATCGTATAATTTCTGACTTTTGTTGCCGTCTGTGAGGAAAATAAATGGGGCTCAGAGCCTCAGAATACTGAAATCTGTATTTTTAAATCTTTTTTTCCTTCTAATTTGTTATTCTTTTCAAAATAACACACTGTTATTTACTCACCAATAACACACAATTATCCTTGCTTTTATTTATTGGTTTAATTCCATAATCTCTGGCTTTTTTGGCGTTCGTCAGGAACTACATTTCAAAATAAAAATAACCGGAAACATCCATCCATCCATCTTCTCCCGCTTATCCGTGGTCGGGTCGCGGGGGTAGCAGTTCCTGCAGAGAGCCCCAAACTTTCTTTTCCCTGGCCGACATCAACCAGCTCTGACTGGGGGATCCCAAGGCGCTCCCAGGCCAGTGAAGAGATATAATCCCTCCACCTGGTCCTAGGTCTACCCCTTGGTCTCTTCCCAGCTGGACGTGCCTGGAACACCTCCCTAGGGAGGCGCCCAGGTGGCATCCTAACTAGGTGCCCGAACCACCTCAACTGGCTCCTTTCGACGCGAAGGAGCCAGGAAACAGACGTAGGCATTTCGAGCGATTACCCAAGATCCTCAGCTATGGTTTAAGCTCGCTGATTGGATGTTTTAGCCGCAATGCATGCTGGGATTTGGGGTTTATATGATATGAAATCCGGAAAACATTTTAAAAGAATAAAATAATACGTAATTCTGAGTGTTCTTGCTTTTCTCTTTGAAAGTCATCACATAACGGCATTGTAATACACGGTTCGGCTGCATTACATTACATACATAAAGATCTGCCGTAGTTCTTTATTTATAGAGCCCTGATGAGAAGACCTTTTTTGAAAAACTGGAAGAAATGCCGCCGAAACTGAATACTTGACGTGGATCATAAACATATCAACAATTAAACAACATCTTCAATTTCTCTTCACACAATACGTCTCCTTGCAGTATCAACACTAATTCGGCTGACTTTTACATTTGATCTAATTCACAGATACACCATAACGGTGCACAGCTGATATAAAAGGACTTGTCGTTTTTAAAGATATTACTGATTTTCTTTGAATGTAAGAATGTAAATACTGAGTCTGAAATAGTATAGCAATATTCTGTAAAATGATGTGAAAGCATGAATAAAACTACACATCTTCAGATGTTGTACATACATAAGTGTCCTACACTAATAATACAAAGTTATTATGGCTGTGTGTACCTTGTGTGCACCGCCTAGTGGTTAAAGCACGTTATTGAATTATTGTTTTTATGTGTTATATTTTAAAAATATTAAGAGTACATACTTTCATAGGGGGAAAGTAGAAGGTCTGTGATAGAAATATAGAATATAAAAAATCAAGAAGATACTATAAGTGATCTCTACAATAAAACAGTTTAGTGCAGGATGTACGAAGATATTAATAGGAGGATGTGCAAAACAGAAAAACGAATTAACCTTTATTTAAACATTAAATAATACTTTAGATTAAGGTCTTCTTTTAAATAAGAAAAAACCGTTGGGGGTATCTATCTACAGATAAATATTAAGCCTGACAAAGTACTTAACGTCTAATATATTGCTTTCCTGCAATGTTAACTATGTTGAAGCACTTATTTTAACTGATATTATACATATGGATTATACTGTTATGTATGTAGATAGAATAAGAAATGTGCAGAATATGACAGTTTAATGGTGGAGGTACACACATATTGATAGATGTCTTGTAATGCACTGTTGAGGAACCTGTGACCCAAGATTTTCATTCATTGGATACACCATAGTTGTGTATATGATATGTCAATAAACCTTTGAAAATCTTGAAATCTTGAAAGGGATGTGCAAAATAGCCATAATATACAGTCTTTAATTAACTATTAGTAGAGAATAACGAGTAATGAATATACTTTATTACTCGTTTCCATTCATGTCAATTGCAGATAAATGTTTAGTCTTCTCAAGCACCAACTATCAAATATCTCTCCTGATTGTTGGCACTTGACAATCACCTTACCTGAATTTTACTCAGGTGTAACTAAAGTCTGATTTTTACATTACATTACATGTTACTTGTTAGACGCTTTTATCCAAAGCGACTTACATACTCAATACTGTGGGCAATCCCCACAGGAGCAATTTGGGGTAAAGTGTCTTGCCCAGGGACACAACGACATGCTGACTGCAGTGGGGTTTGATTTGATTTAAGGGTTGTTTATATTTCACATCATTAATCAGAATCTGCAAAGTAACTAAAATAAGTGTAGTGAAGTAAACATACCAGGTTAACCATTGTAGTGGAGTAGAATTACAAAGTAACAATCAGCTGTCATGTGGGTATATTAATGCTGCGCATTATGGACACAAGCGATTTTCACCCATTTATTAATTATATGTTTTACATTTGATAACACCGATGTGTTTAATACTGGCAACTTCTAATTGTGGGAAAAACAAAAACGTTCAGTAGAGACGTCCCATAGAACATTTTGCGAAACACAATAGCCAGCATGTGTAGTTCTGGGGGGGCGTTCGATTCCAGTTTTGGATAGTCTGGCGTGGTTTCGTTCCATTTCACACAGCTGTTTGACGCTTAGCGTAAACTTGACGCACTGCCACTCCAACATCCAATCCCAGAGCTTGAAGATTAATCACGGGGACAGTAGTCCTAAACGATAGCTGGGGATTATGGGTAGTGTAGTGTCTTCGGCCATCCTAAACTCCTAGAGGCCTACGTCTGTTTCCGGTTATTTTTATTTTGAAATTCAGTTCCTGACGGACGCCAAAAAAGCCCGAGATTATGGAATTAAACCAATAAATAAAAGCAAGGATAATTGTGTGTTATTGGTGAGTAAATAACAGTGTGTTATTTTGAAAAGAATAACAAATTAGAAGGAAAAAAAGATTTAAAAAATACAGATTTCAGTATTCTGAGGCTCTGAGCCCCATTTATTTTCCTCACAGACGGCAACAAAAGTCAGAAATTATACGATTTAAAATAAAAGCAATAATTGTGGCTTGATATTGAGTAAGAACATGTTTTTATGAACCACACAGCTTCCGGTCTTCCACGATCCGAGCGGAGAAAAAGACGTGCTGCAGGCACGAAACACATTAGAAATACTTTGCTTTTAAAATCGTGCTGTGCAACACGAAAAAAAGGGGGAAATCGTGTTGGTGAACACGAAATGCCATGAGACTGGGTTGTCATGGTGGTGCAGGTCATTTTTTATTCTTGCTAAACTGTGTTGCAAATGTCCTTGCGCAAGTCCTTGAAATGTGTTTAAGTCATGCTTTCTGCCTAAAGAAATCATGAATTCTCTCCAAACTCAACTTCCTTGTAAAGGCAGAAGAAACAGTTTTATAAGCCATCAGAAACTAATTATATATATATTTCATAAAAAACCCAACTCAAGAATCCTCAAACCAACAATTGAAGTTACTATGTATAAATACATATAATGTATCCATCAATTGATCTTATGATTTGTTAATACATTAAAAAAACACCAATTAAAAATCCATTTTATTTTTTACTATTACACAATTTACAAATGTTGTACTACTTTTGGTATTGACTAATCGGAGCAGACAATGAGTGTTGTTTTTTTTGCAATTGTTAGGCTTCCTGTCCAATCCGCAGACAAAGAGCATAGCTTCTGTTTTTCTTTTTCTTTTCACATTTTCCTTTGAATTTCTATAAAACCTAAAGATGTTGTCGGGACAGTCACCTGATTAGTCATGAGAGTACACTGAGCTGATCAGCTAGAACTCAATGTTATGC